ATTTGACTCACACAAAGAGAAGAAAACTCTGTGTTCTCAGGAATTGAATTTTCTATTTTGCTATTAATTCATCTTTAATTGTCCCAAACCGCTGCATGTTGAAAATATTTTTAATTTGATTTAAAAATACACTTTTAATAAGCTAAAATGATAGAACTTGTGAATTGTTGTGACAATTATTTGACACATGATTCAAAAACCAATTTTATATGCAATTGTTACTACGGTAACAATTGCATCAACAGAAAATTTATCCGATTTTTTTATCCAGTTATATTTTCTCTTCCTTCCTATTTATTCGCTAGCAAACTACGATTTTTGACATTTCAAATGGGATTATTTATACATGAGTGGAATTGCCCTTATAATAATATAAAATAGTATATTATATACCTAGGTAGAGAAGTTGGTCCTTATATACCGAGCGCTTTTATAAACCGAGGCGCTCGCGCCGAGGTTTATAATGAGTGAGGTATATAATGACTTTCTCTACCGAGGAATATATAGAATTTTTTTTACTACTGCTAGTAGAAAATGAAAAATTTGTTTAAAATCTGTGCTCCAATTATTTTTTTTTGAACGCCCTCTTGAAAGTGCTGCCCTCTATCAACAGCTTATGATAACTTCCTATGTACCTACAGAAACCTGTATTTTTTTTCAAATTGACGTATGGAAATGAAATTGAACCAATAGAAACATGACAATATCCTTGCGTCATGACGTCATTTTCATTATTAACCTAGGTATTTTTTCATTATTTTCATTATTCACCTAGGGAGAGAAATTCAATTTTTTCCTAGAAAAATAGATTGAATAATGACAATTTCTCAGGTTAGTAGTAAAAAAAATAATTTTTATGTCATACCAATACATTATTGTGTTTTTATACCTTAGATACCATTTACATAATTCATTACTTTATGCCCGTGCGGGCATAAAGTACACATTATGGCCCGCGCGGGCATAAAGACGCAAAAAACAGTTTTCAATTAACTTATTCTTTATTAACAAAATATAAATTTACGCTTATAAACATATTATTTTTGTCAAAAAATGATGATGTTTGCCCACTGATGACAATTTGCGAAGTGACACTTTTTTCCCAGGTATTTATTATTTACAACCAACTGGTATGACATAAAAGTTTGTATGCACCACGGGTACTAATAGATACATATACCCTCGGGCGACTTACGAACCCTCGGGCCAGAGGCCCTCGGCTTTGTAGAGACTGTCGCCCTCAGGGCATAATCATCTACTTAGTACCCTTGATACATAAATAACAATTATATTTTTATGCCTAGTCCTGGTCCTGGTACACTATAGGCCTATTCGGGTTTGGAAAAAGTACGGTTCTAGAACGGCCCAGAAGAATCGCACAGTTTATTATTGAAATTTGTGATAGTCGAGTCGTTGTTATTTTGTTGATCAATAAACTGGACGATTGTTTTAAACCGTTCTAGAACCGTCCTTTTTCCAAACCCGAATAGGCCTTATAACAAAGACACCGCACACCGGCAAAAAAGCTTGAAAATTGTCGACGGCTTTATCGCTTGCCGCCAAAGCTGAGCCGCTCTTGTTGACAGTGTGAGATATTCTCTTCAGAAGTGGACAAAAGTATAAAATTACACAGATAATTGAATAAAAATCAATTTCAAATTTGAATTTTTCATAAAGGAATAATATTCCCATTCAAATATTTATATTTGATTCAGTGACGCTTTAACCTTTCTCTGGCCCGTAGGTCAATTATTTGGTATGGCCTTTCATGAGTGAATGTTCTTTTTTATGGGGTTAAATAAAATCATTCAAACGGTTTAACACTACTAAAAAACCAGTAAAAAATATTTAATAAGACTATATTTAAGGAACAAACGAACAGAATCGTATGCGATTCTCAAAGATTTTAGTTTACACGTGAAAATTCGTAAAGTTGAAAATCACAAGATCACACTTGACACCATAAATATATCCACGGACAAACAACAAACGGATTAAACTCTATCTAACCAAAGTTGAACGTTGAAGGTCACTTACTCATCCTTGTAACCATGGGCAACCTATTCTTGTTTTGCTGCTGTCAAATGATAAGGACAGCAATACATTGGTGAAAATGCGCATGTGACATTGATGATTTTAAAAACTTGCCCATTGCTTCGACAAATTGACGTTTTATGCGTGAATCAAACGTCAAATTGTCGAAGCAATGTCAAAAAAGTGCGAATTTCGCAGTTATGAGTACTAGGCTTAAGTGACTTTCTCAACGTTCAACTTTGGTTAGACAGAGTTTAGCGCAAACACTAACAGGTTCCTGCTGTAGTCGTTGCCAGTTGCCACGTGTCCACGTGCCCGTGCTGCGCTTGACGCGACGGCGAGTCTGCGCAGCTCGAAGACTTTAGGGCGTGTTCGATGGTCGATGGTGCGAGCAGAGCGATTCCAGAGCATCGTGACGTCAGGCAGTGCACTCTAGCCAAACCAAATGTACTTGTGCAGTGTGAATGATAAGAATTAAAGAGTATTGAAATATGTACTAGTCCTGCTACTAAACAAGTCGATGTTTTTAATATAGTGGGCTTTTATATTTTAAAGGCCAACAGTTGGCCTTCCATCCACAGTGGCCCGTAGGACATGACCTAATTGTCCTAACGGATAAAGTGTCCCTGATTTGATTTATTTCAATAGTTTAAAACGGAATTTTAAGGATTACCTACTATATGAATTTTGCCCATTTATTTAATGTATTAACTCCACTGTATTCTAGAAGTAAATCGGCTAGAATTTCGGGGCAATGGCGTTCGTCATTTCAGTTTTTATGGAAATATCTGGAGTATGTTGATTCTTTATTAACCAATTTTTTTTCATTTGTCATGATAATAATATTTAGACGCCTATGGATTCCCACGTGACTTCAAAGAGATCAACTGAGCCGCCTTTTTTATGAAGTTTCAATTAATAATGGTTAAACTTTAACAAAATATCAAAAAATAATGCAGAAAACGGCAATAAACTAAAACGATCTCGCGCAAAAATTCGAAATTCAAAATTCTAAGATCCGAATCTGATAATTTTATATGTCAAATCGAAATGTCATGTATCATTTATTTGATGGTTGACAGAAAAAGGGACAGATCTAGGGATTTTATTTACTTTCAACTGGTGAAAATAACGGTGAAAATTTAAACTCTATCGTGAATACGACTATACACCTGGATGTGGAAGGTAAAGGACAATTTTTTTCGCCTTGTGACTCTTTTAACATGGTTGTAGCGATATTCACTCCCACTCCATCATGCTACAATTAAGTAGAATTTTTTTTATTTATTTGTAACTTTTCTTCAAAAAATGGAGTATGTTAGTGCTAGTAATATGCATGGTTCTTACTTTAACCTTCACGCTTTCAAGATCTAATGCGGCTGCAAGTTGTTCATCTTCTTGAACAGTGACTATATCTGGTGTATTATGAGACGATGTCGGAGTTTCAGGTTGATTAGAAAACAAAGTTGTGATTTTCGTGCACTTTTCTGCTGCCCGAGTTAGTAATTTTGCTCTCTTTTCCCTAAGTTTTTGAGCACCGCCTTTGCGTTTTTTAGATTCTCTGCTTTTGTCGCCTTGATCCATAGCTATATTACAATACAAAGATCATGAGAACAGACGAATTTTAATTCATATTATTAATTTATTTTAAATATTATAGAAGTACACATGAACCTCTACCTACCTTAAGTCCTAAATTGATTCTTTATTCTCTATTCTTATTTCTCGCCTATTCCAGCAAGTTCAACTCTTAATTCTCCAGAAAATCAAACTCAACTATTTATTACAAATATACAGACTCGTTACAGCGCGCGCAAAGCGATAAACACCGAAAAGCTGTCCCTTCTTCCCAGAGCTAGAGCCTCGGGCGGTCGGCCATCGGGCGTCGCACGCATAAATACATTTTGTCGTGAAGTCACCGCGGTTTTCTCTTCCGCCTTCCGCCAGAGGGCCAAAGAGAGCAGCATGCAAGCGGACCTTTTGAGTAGGCCTACTATAATGCTGTTCGGCAGTATATAATTATAATTTTAACAAATATTGAATGAAAATATAAAACCTAACAGTTTTATCCCGATCATCCGATCAGCCCACACTCGGGTCGGCCCACCGGGAATTTCCCGGTATCCCGGTGGATTCATCCAACCCTGCTTGCCTGCCTTCTGGATTTTTGTAAAATAGGCCAATTCCTAGTTGGCGCTTGTCAAGTTACCATATAAATAATCAGGGGCGTCCATAGGGGGGGGGGGGGCAAATGGGGCACTTGCCCCCACCTAGGCCTTCGCGTCGTTCGTATAACTGTGTTTGCGTGCGGAAAAGTAACACTTTGCGCACTTGTTATGAAAATAACTATTTTCACTCGTTTCTGATTTTAGAGGGCATTTCAACAAAAAAAAAATCAGCCAGAGCATACAATTCCTTTTGACAGTTGCCGTTTTTGACAAATCGTATAACCTAACCTTTCTGTCAAAAAAAGCATTTGATTACACAGTTGCCATATGTAACCTTTGCTTAAGGGAGTCTCAGTGAAGGGACCGACTATAAAACGAAGAAGCTAAGGACTCCTTAAGGCAGCCTTCAGTAAGGGAGCCTTGAGGACGTCTTCAAGGAATGACTATAAATTTGACCCTTAGACTGCTTATGTTGAGTCAATAATATACCTATGGTTATTGTCCGTCGATTTTAATTTGATACTTGGACGGTATGTGAGCTGGTGGCTCCCTACATTAGAACGTCAATGGTTACCTGACGTCACACCTGTTTTTGCCATATGAAACACCCCCTTACTTCTCATACGGAAAGTGTCAGTTAAAAACCGATGAACAATACCTACCTATATAAATGGTTTTTTAAAAAATAAAAAAAGCCAGGTTTTTACCCTCCCCTGAAAAATGTTCTATGGACGTCCTTGTAAATAATAGTTTTGCAATAAAATTCTCAAATTTTTACACTTTTCTTTTTGTCACTAGGCGACGATACCCTTTCGGTGTCAGGTAGTGTCTATGATGAGTACTACGATTACGACTTCATCTACTCAGGCTCTGGAAATAATAGTATATCAGGAAACACTGGCGTATCAGAACCGATTTATGCCTCGTTGAATGCCAGTTTAAGTAAGTTGATAGCGGAAAGCTCGCCGCATTCTCCAACTCCACCGCTACCACCAAGAGCGCGCATGTCTACCATCGATAGAAATTTATCGAAAATATCAGAGGTGAGTATTTTTTGTCAATAATTTCGAAGCTATCCTGTGATTTGTCATATTTAGCACAACCTCTTAAATGATGTTGTTCAAAACGACGAAAAAGCTTTAGCCAGAGATCCAGATTTAAAAGCCTTCTACAACATGGTTTACCGCGTAAGAAATAATTACAAATATAACGATCCGGATAGCAATATGGGCTTGGTAATAAGCCCGATGGTCAATTACAAATACAATGACGGGCTGAGCATAAAGTTAAGAGTACATCCAGATTTTGAAGGAGCGGAATTCGATAAAGCGGTCACGTTTACTTGCGATGTCACTTCCAGCGTTGAACACATAACTTTACAGCTAGTGTGTGATATTGAAGCCCCTACGCATCAAAATTATACACTGAAAGTTTGGGGGTTTAATGAATATCTTGTTCCTACTACACTGTTATCTGATTATGAGTATGTGCATAATTGTATCAAATTAGACGACGATGTTGTTCTGGTTCTTATACCTGATTCGATGAGGGATAAATCATTTGCCAGAACGGTGAGTGGAGAAAATTTTAGTTAATGACGTAATTCAATGTGGGACTTTTTAGGTTCAAGATGACTGTAGGGATAGAGAAATTACTTTTGAAAAAGTTGTGCCAAGTGAAACAGTATCGCATATTACTTTTGATAGTCTGAAAATTCTTTTAGGTAAGTAAATATTATGTATATGATGTAAGTTTTTGAACTATTTACTGCAATGGTCCACTACTTTTTATTACTCTCCATGGTTTAATTATTTTTTTTCTAGAAACTGTTGAAAATGAAATTAGCAAACTGGAGGATCAAGCAACCGAAATGGAAAGAATCAATAATTATTCTGGAGCGCCTCCCCTGCAGCCCTTAAAAGTGTCACAGTCAGTTAAATGTATAGTGAACCTGATGGGCGAATTGTGTACGTTAGATATAATGCAAACTGTTGAAGGTTTAAATGAATCTTGCAAGGCATTTAGTCCTTCTAGAAATGTAAGTACGCATCCATATTTTCATCCTAAACTGTAAATTATTCCAATTCCAGGATAGTTTTTCCCATAATATTAAAAATAATTGCAATAAAGTGAGATTATCTGTAAAAAATTTGATAGACATGTACTGCCAAACGTTTTCAGTAAATTTTGAAGTTGTTTCTTCTGCATTGGCGGAACGTGAGTATGATAGAAAATTTGATCGAGTGCAGTTTAAATTATCATTTTCTATTCTAGAATCCCGAAATGTTGGTGATGTATTAGATTCAGTTATAGTACGTATATGTGCCATTTATCGACCAAATGTAAAATGGGAACACGAATCTTATTATATATCAGGACAAATATATCATGGAACTAGGAAAATAAGTAAGCCAATTTTTACGCAGGCTTGTGGAAAGACTGAAAGAGATAAAATGTGGCCTTCTAGGATAGTTTTTGATAGTTGGTAAGTAGCAGTAACCAAATAAAACTGTATTTCTCTCAAATAATGTATTTTAGGTTAGAATTTGAAGATGTCCCTATCAGCAACTTAGCAAGGGAGTCTAGATTAGTTTTGCAAGTATTTGGAAGAACCTTAGATACAACTGAAACTGAGGAATCAAAAAATTCAAATATGCCAAGGTATAAGGAGGAAGAAATTGGGTGGGCTGCAATACAGTTTTTCGATTATGAAGGGTAGGTTTATCATAGTTTTGGGTATTATTGTTTTGAAACATTATATTTTGTAGAGTCATGATTCAAGGAAGTTCTCTTTTATCTGTTTGGCCTCGTGAATCAAATCTAATAAATGATCATATTTATGGACCTGCTCCGGCGATGGGATCTCATCCTCAGAACGATCATCCCATGATAGGTAACATAAAAAAAGTATTTCTATTATCACATTACTTATTTGTTTTTGTCAATTTTAGGGATTGAAGTAACACCACCATCAAAAGTAGTATTTCCAAAAATTGAGTCTAATCTAGTTAAGAATGTAACTCATGGTGATTTCTCTAGTTTAGATAAAGATACTCAAGAACTTTTAACAGATGCATGCGAACAAGATATGTTATATAAATTTCCACCAGAAATAAGGTAACTTTTGATTCCACCATCACTTTTTTAATTTATGTCTTGTTTGCTTTTTAGAGAAATTTTGTGGGAGAAGCGGCATTATTTGAATCACATGTCACAAGCTTTGCCAAAAGTACTATTGGCAGCTCACAGTTGGGCATACACAAACTTACCAGATCTACATGGAATGTTACATACATGGAAAAAATTAGAGCCTAGACAAGCATTGGAACTGCTACTACCAGTGTAAAAATATTTTATTATCAGCAAAGAAAAACTTTTGAAAATGTATTTCATTTTTTAGATATCCGGATATTGAAGTACGGAAAATGTCAGTTAAATGGCTAGTCAATTTCTCAAATGACGAACTCGTAGATTACTTACCTCAACTTATAGTTGCTCTAAGACATGAAACATACGAGAACTCTCCATTGGCTGAATTTATGTTGCATCGAGCTTTAAGATCCCCAAGATTTGCACATTATTTATTTTGGTTACTCAGCCACAACTTACCTGGGTCTATACCGCAAGTAAGTATTTTCAATATAGTGCTAGGTTCAACAGTTTTCCGTATGTTAATCGCGGTGTTATTCAGAAGCTGCGTAATTGGGATATTGATATTTTTAATGGATATAAGGTCAGTTAGCAAGAAATAATACCTACAAATTTCGAAATGTAATAAGTACCTGTAGCTTTTGAAGTCGATTGTTATTTCACTGACTACATACAGGTTTGGCAAATCATCATCATACAGCCAATTTTAATGCAATAGAATGAAATATCTAGAAAAAGTCTAAGGTTACATAATGAACGAAAACAATTACTCCTGTTTCACCTCCAACATGGAGCGCTGGGAATGCTGGAGGTGGAAATCGTTTTCGTACTCTATTTAACCTTAGACTAGACTTTTTCTAGACATTTGATTCCATTGCATTATAATTGGCTAGTAAGATGTTGACTTTGCCATACCTGTATAGTATTTCAATATTTTTTCCCCGATGATGGCATGTGTTTGAGTAGAAACTTGAGGTATTTGATTTCATCCATGTACATTTATGTAGGAGCATGAAAATTTTGAATGTTTAACTTATTTTTTTTTAAATAATTATTTATTTATTGTTTCAATTTGAATCTGTGAAGTTGCTCCTATAGGTTAATGAAAGTTTACGCAAGTATGAAGAAAAGTTGAAATATTATCTAATTTCTATTTCATTATTAGAATGGAAATATGGATATGAAAGACAATAAAAATGATTTGTACGATTCAAGTATAAGTGAAGTAAGGCACCATCGAAGAATGAAGCTATTGCTACGCGCCCTTCTGGCAATTTGTGGTGAATCTCTCCGAACATGCTTCTTGTCCCAACAATTTTTAGTCAAGGTAGGTACACAAAAATGATATGTATTCATCAGTAATATCAAAATGTTGCGTTATTTTATCTAATAGAGTATTATTCCTTTTTTGAATTTAGCATTTGAACGATACTGCGGAAAATGTGCAAAAAGCCAAAGATTCACAAAAAATTGTTCATTTGCACCGGGATCTGGAAACGATTAATGTTCATCTCAGTGAAAATCCAACCAGCTTACCACTATCTCCTACACTAAGAGTTAATGCGATTGATGTCAAAAGTATGTGCCTACTTTTTATGAAAATCATTGACATTTTATAACTTGATTATTTTAGGCTGTTCGTATTTTGCATCGAACACCCTCCCTCTAAAAATCAACTTCATTATGGAAGACAGCTCAATTTATCCGGCCATCTACAAAATCGGAGATGACTTACAGCAAGATATGTTAACCCTTCAAATGATCCGTTTAATGGACAAACTTTGGCTGCACGAGGGCCTGGATTTGAAAATGGTTGCTTTCAATTGTATACCTACTTCAAAAAGAAAAGGTAGAATTTATTGCTTATCAGAAATTATTTTAAAAATAAAAATATTTATAGGTATGATTGAAATGGTAACTAAATCGGAAACTTTGAGAAAAATACAAGTTGAACACGGATTAACTGGTTCTTTTAAAGACAAACCCATTGCCGAGTGGTTGGCAAAACATAATCCTTCTGAGCTTGAGTATAGTAGAGCAGTTCAGAATTTTACTGGTGAGTTATTATTACATTAATAATGATTGGAGCACTTTTCAAATCATAAATGATTTTCTTTTAGCTTCTTGTGCTGGCTACTGCGTTGTTACATACATAATGGGAATTGGTGATAGACACAATGACAATATAATGTTGAAAACTTCTGGCCATCTATTTCATATCGACTTTGGCAAGTTCCTAGGAGATGCGCAAATGTTTGGAAACTTCAAAAGGTAATTGAAATGCCTAAAAATAAAACTTGTGCTTTATTAGGAATTATTTAGGGACCGAGCACCGTTCGTACTGACATCTGATATGGCTTATGTGATAAACGGTGGTGATCGACCCACAGAGAAATTTCATCAGTTTGTAGATTTATGCTGCACAGCTTTCAATATTATTAGAAATAATAGGAACATGTTTTTGTTCTTGGTAAGTACATAATAATATATTTCAACTGTCTCATTTAAATAACAATATTATTCCTAGATGACGTCGTCTGGTATCTGTAGTATAACTCCTGAATCCATAGGTTACATGCACAGAGCTTTGCTTCCAGAAATGTCAAATCCGGAGGCGGCCGCACATTTCACAAGACTCATTGAAGAATCTCTCAAGACTAAGTTTACGCAGTTCAACTTTTTCCTTCATAATCTCGCTCAAAACTTGGCTCAATTGAAGTTCACTGGAGATAATCAAAGTGGCTCTTTGTTGTCATTTGTGCCAAAAACTTACAGGTAATACATTTTTACTAAAGACTTATTTATAGTATAGTAGCTCTATACAGGGTGTCCCACGGTGGATGGCGTATTAGACGTTTATGGAGAACTAAAAAGCGGATCATTTTGAAAATTTGGCAACCGGGATAAACGACCATGATTTACACTTTAAAAATATTTTAGACCATGCGGTGTTGCCGCTTCTACTCTAAACTAGTGGCAACATCACTATTTTAAATGGAACACCCTGTATTAAATTGCATATTTGGATTCTACGTAAAATTCTGAGCAGATTTCATGTGATATACCCTATACCTAAGTTCAACTGTTTTGGAAATATTGACAGTTGAAAATTGACTTTTTGCAACTTTGACAGGCTGTAAAAGCTAATTGGTTACTTTTAGAGGAAAACCGATTTCACATTCCTATCTTAGATTTTGATAAACTATCATTTGACGCCAACTTTGAACTTAACCGGAGATTAAATTTAACTGAAATTTTTAATCATGGATTCAATTCAATTCAAAGATAGTTTATAAAAATCTAAGATAGGAATGTAAAATCCGTTTTCCTCTAAAATTAACCGTTCAGGTTCTACAGCCTGTCAAAGTTGCAAAAAGTCAATTTTTAACTGTCAATATTTCCAAAACAGTTGAACTTAGGTATAGGGTATATCACATGAAATCTGCTCAGAATTTTACGTAGAATCCAAATATGCAATTTAACACGGGGGTTCCATTTAAAATAGTGATGTTGCCACTAGTTTAGAGTAGAAGCGGCAACACCGCATGGTCAAAAATATTTTTAAAGTGTAGATCATGGTCGTTTATCCCGGTTGCCAAATTTTCAAAATGATCCGCTTTTTAGTTCTCCATAAACGTCTAATACGCCATCCACCGTGGGACACCCTGTATATATATTATACTCAACTGATCTCATCTACAAGAAAAAACTCAAGTATAAATGTATTGTTTGCCCAGTGGATCTGAGTCTACGGAAAGAATTCTGACGTAAATGTGCCATGTTGCCACGTTTAATTATAAAAAAGCGAAATTACTAGGCATGAAGTATAGTTAATTTGAAAATCCATTTTTTACTAACAAAATATTGATAACAATAATAAAACGCTAAATATATTTTAACGTGGTTGTTAGATCTATCCTTATTTTAATCCTGATTTCTTCAGTTTGGTCTATTGTAAAAAATAAACATTTTCTAAAGATACCATTAGCTTTTGACAATTTGGCAATCATCCGTCCTGGATGAACCTGATTGGTGGAGTTTTTGGCAGGATCGCCGTTGTCATGAGGAACCATACGGTTGTCAATAAACTAACGTCACCTTACGTCTCGCTATTGGCCAGGGCTCACGTCATTTTATCCTCCCATCTTGGAATATCGATTTATATTGAAATATCCAGTGGCGGAGATTTGGTCATTGCTGATTTTCGTGTACGAGTTGCAATACGATAACACTTCCAAAAAGTTCTGTACGCAGCTGGGTATTTTATGAATGAAATCAGCCATTTTTTTTTACAACTGCATTCCCCTTACCGTTGCCCCGTAGACACAGACTTGCTGGGCAGACATTAAGAACAATATTTTTCCATACAATATGTTGTTATGTACAAAATCATCACAATATTAAAATTACTATAAATCACTATTATGGCACAAGAAATACATCTGGGGGCGGATTACGAACTCTCGATTCGAACCAAAACCGTCATGGATTTCGAACGCACTCCATGCGAATGCATAGGAATGCGTTCGAAATCCATGGCGGTTTCGGTTCGAATCGAGAGTTCGTAATCCGCCCTCTGATTGCACCAAAATGCAGATGTGAGTTGGGTCAGAAATCGGTTAGATATCTAGATCCCAAATTGTACAATATACTGCCTGGATAGTATTAAAAGTTCATATATTAAGCTTTTTTCTAAATTTGCAAAAAGTTCTATAGAGAAACAACATAAACAATTTGTCATTGTGTTTAATAAATATTTTTTTCTTTTGATTAGCTTTGTTAATTACATTTTTCTAATTTTAATAGGTATTCAGTACTATAACATATTACATTAGAATATTAGCCCATACAAGGGTTTTTGCTTCTTGTGCTGTAAGTATGTCTATATATCACTCTAATGCATTTCGAGAGTGTATTTTCATATCGTTTCACCTGTCTTTGGCGTAAATGCTCATTTCTCAGTGGGCACACTCTATAAATGTGAAAAATTGTTATTTATTTATTTCAGTGTCAGTACAGATGGTCGGCTAACGCACGTAGAAGTGGCCGGATACAGGAAACGATATGATCCCGATAAATATTACGTTTACGTTCTGCGAGTATACAGAGAGGGCCAGAATCAGCCAATGGAAATTCAGAGAACTTACAAAGAATTCTGCGAGCTGCATGAGAAACTGTGTTTGCATTTTCCTTTGGCTAAATTGCACAGGTAAGAAGTAACTTTTTATTTATTTTTTTGTAGGGCTGATGCCATGAACACAGGTTGATTTATAATATGTGGTGTAAAAGTATATCATTGTTTTACACGTCACATGCAAACATCCAATAATCTTAACTTAAGGATAAAGTAAAAGTAATATACCGGGTGTCCCACCGAAAACTGTCAATGGCCTAAATCTTGAAAACGGTAATCGATAAAAAAAATGAAAAACCCGTTTGGAGGGTTGGAAGGGGGAACAAAAACAAGGTACTTTTCAGCTCTCCCTGAATCACCCCTCTAGCCGTAGCTACCCTAACCTCAAAATTTTAAATGGCATTATAGGTCATGTGATACCTTGTTTTTAAGGTCTTTTAATTCTCTTAATACATCTGCAAAAAAAAATTATCCAGATTCAAATGTGACTCTCATTTCGATGAAAACCTCATTTGATCGGGTGGAACAGGTAAATGTGATTTAAAACCGGCAATGAGATGGCACAATATTGCCGCAGTATCTGGTTTTATAATCATGTATATCACTATGAGTCAAAAATTTGTGCTCAAACCTTTCGATATAAAGCACGCATTCCATAATATAAGCTGATGGAAGAGGTTGGAAGGGGGAACAAATGAATGATTTCTTGAGTTCAACAAACGCAGGCCTACAGTCATTCCTAAATCTCATACTCACCAAAATTCTGATTGCGGTACGTTGTAGCCCAAAGATTCTGGCTGCAGAAGAGGCTCTACCCCATGCTAAAATCCCATATGTCATGACAGAGTGAAACATGCCATAATAAGCACTCAGCACTGTGCTTGAGATACACAGTCACAAAGATTCCTCAGCAAGAAAACACTGCTCCTCAGTCTTCCTGATATATTATCTGTGTGCACATCCCATGTGAATTTTGGATCGATATAATCCCAAAAACTTCAGTTCAGATGGATTTGTAAAATCCTGAGTATCTTGCATTGCAAACAGCATAGTTTGAATTTCATCCCCATTAAGCATAAGATTGTTAGTGCTAAACCAACTTTCGACCTCCAATCATGCCTCACGTGACCTCCCCTCCAAGGCTTCAGATCATCATCCTGAATAGTGAGAGTAGTGTCATCTGCAAAAAGTATGTATCTAGCTAGTTCACTCAGTGGTAGGTCATTTATAAAGACGAGGAAAAGAATAGGTCCCAAAACGGAGCCTTGTTGTACACCTTCCCTTAAGAAACCCTCAAAAGACGACACTCCCCCCACCCTTACCATTTGCGTGCGTTCACTTAGATACGATTCTAGCAATTGTATAGTGCCCTCTGAGAAATTGTAAAACTAATTTCTTGAATGGGACATCACACGAGGCACAATCAAAAGCCTTGCTCAGGGCATAGAAATGTGCTAAGAGAAAAAGCATCCTTTATATTAGAGAGAAGATTGAGGACTGCAAGAAGTAAGAACTGTGCCCTTTCCCCCCGTGAACCCAAATTGGCTATCAGTAAACTAGCTGTTGCTCTCAAAGAAGTCACTAATCCTGCATGCATGCACCTCTCAATTACCTTCGACAAAATTATCAACAAGGAGATGGGATGAGAGTTAGAAGTATCATTTCTGTCCCCTTTTTTAAAAATTGGAGTAATCACAGCCCTCTTGAGTGACTTAGGAAATTTATTCTCTCTAAAGCATAAGTTTATCATCTGTGTCAATGATTCCAAAATAATATTTTTTATGTTCTTGATAACTTGTACATTGACCATAATATGTATGTATATCCCCACTTTTTTTATTATTGAAGCTGTCTATAACATCCCTCACAAAATAAATAGCTAACTTCCCTAAATGAAAATACTTCCTGTGGGCCAGTCAGCTGCCCCAACCCCTCAAGTAGATTTCGATGTGTTTTTGAAATTTTATTTATTACATTATCTGGGATGTTCAAGAAAGAAGAATTGAAATTTTCAGGGCTTATGCTAGGTAATAACTCAGATTTATTAAAATTTCCTCTTTGACTGTTGATGATGTTGCTATCAAGTTATCGTTAGCTTGTTTTTTTGCTCGTTGAATTGCCCTATTGTAAACCCTATTGAAACTTCTATATTCCTCTCTGTTACCCAAGGTATAATATTGTTTGCACACTACCCCCAGAAAATGTAAGTGATCCCTCATTTTACGTAAAGCATCAATCAACCAAGACATCTTATGCGGCCGGTCACCTCTTGAATAGTAGGACTTTTCAGTGAATAACTGTAGGTATGCATCTTGGATTTTATTAATGAAAATCGCAAATTTCTCATCAATAGAGAAGTTTTCTGAGATGAAATCCCATGAGTGGGATTCCACAATATTATAGAATTGTTGAATACTTTGTTGTGTGATTGGCCTTAAAGTTTGTTTACTCATTAATTTTTGCTCAGTTTTTAAACTCAAATAAAGAATAAGTACTTTCCCAATATGGTCAAAAATATGTAAATCTACTGTTTCTTCCACAGCAGTATCCTTAGAAAATCGGTTTTCGTCTAGAATTAACCGTTTAGGTTTTACAGCCTGTCAAAGTTGCAAAAAGTCAATTTTCAACTGTCAATATTTCCAAAACAGTCGAATTTAGGTATAGAGGGTATATTACATGAAATCTGCAGAGTTTTACGTAGAATCCAAATATGCAATCACTTACAAATGTGTGCCTCAGTGTGTGCCATCTAAAAACACAAAGTTCTGTCGCATACCGCATAAACGGAGCACCTTGTGTATTTAAAAATATTTTTAACTAATAAATAAATAAATAAATAAAAATGCCTTTATTTCCAGATTTTCTAAATTAAATTTACATACATTCATATATGAGTGGCGATATCCAACCAAGTTGCTTCTATACAACCACCCCATCAACGAAATAGATAAATGTATCTTTTTACAAAAAAATAGTCTAACATAAAACAGTTTACACTTCAAGGTTATTTCACATATTATGCATTTACGATCTCTTATTGCACATGTGCTTCTTCGACCCCCTCACAAAGGCTGAAACAGTTGCTAGATTTATTAGTTCCTCTGGTAAACTATTGTAAATTTTAGCCGCATTGTAACTAAAAGATTTTTTAAAAGTAGCGGTACGATGCTTAGGAACTACCAATCTATGGTTATGTCTTGTATGCCTCCCATGAACCTCGCAAGATTTAGTTAGTTTGCTAGACAAGTATGATGGGAGTCCAAACAAGTTTATTTTAAATACTTGACGCAATAAGTGCAATTCGTGTCTTTCACCTAATTTCAACCAATTTGATATCCTATATTTCTCAGAGACATGGTCAAACCTCCTAAGATTGTATGCAAGTCGCAAACAGGAATTCTGCAGCTTTTGCAAGCTATTCTTTTCTGTCTGCAATAATGCAGACCAATATACGGTGTCACAGTAATTTAGACGCGATAAAATTAAAGAGTCACACAACCTGAGTTTAATTGGAGTTGATAGAAAGTTTTTATGTAAATAAAGTAGCCTTAAAAGTCCATAAGAAGTTTTCAAAAGAAATGACACATGCGACCTAAATTTTAGATCATTATCAATGAACAAGCCCAAGTTTTTGACAGTATTGAGAGGCATTAAACGGGTATCATTTAATTTAATATTGAAGTTGGGATCTTCTGCCATTTCTTTGGGTTTCCTACCAAATAATATTAATAATTGTGTTTTTTTTTTCATTCAGGAGGAGGCTATGATACTTTGAGTAATTAGAGATAGATTGCAGGTCATCATTTATTTGTTGCACCGCTTGAGGCAATTCGCTTTTATCGAATGACTTGCGAAGCTGCGTATCATCCGCAAATTGATCAGATTGGCAGTTTTTTATAAATTTATGCAAGTCTGATGTGTAAATAGCAAAAAAGATTGGCGCGAGGACACTTCCCTGTGGGACCCCTCTATCAACTAGTCGATATTCTGAAAAAGCACCATTCAATCCAACTCTTTGCACCCTCGAAGTTAGGAAACTATTAAACAGCCTTAGGGAAGATTCCCCGAAGCCAAAAAATTTAAATTTAAGCAGCAATAGATCCGTACTAATAGAATCAAATGCCTTGCTGAAGTCCAATAAGATTAAACAGGTTGATTTACCTATATCCTCAGCTCGGAATATATCATCTGTGACATTCAGCAAGGCAGTCGACGTACTATGGTGAGCTCTGAACCCCGATTGTGTTGGTGGTAGTATTCTTTCATTGTTTAAAAAATCAGACACTTGCTCAGCGATTACCTTTTCTAATATTTTTGACATAACTGGTAAAACACTAATAGGCCGGAAATCAGCAGCGCTAGTGGGATTGCTAATTTTAGGGATGGGTGTCACGTTTGACTGCTTCCAAACTTCTGGAAAAATACCAGTTTCCAAACATTTATTTATGATAAAACACATGTGTTCTCTTAAAAAAGGTATCACATAAAGTAACATTTTCTTACTTATCCCATCAGACCCACATGCATTCGTTTTTATCGAATTCACAATACTAATAATTTTCTGTGAATCAATATTTTTAAAGTTAAATTTTTTTATAAATTCTTTAAAGTGTTTGTTTTCATAGTTGGTGGTTATAAAATTATCCGATAATTCAACGTTAAGCCTAGGTATACTATCCAAAAAGTAATTGTTAAAGTCCGTCGGACTAGAGATTTCCCTCAATTTATAATTCTGAGAGGAACTACAAACATTCAGCTGCCTTAACGAATGCCAGAAAGCCCCTGGATCAGTCCTGAAAGAGTGCTGCAAGTAAGCTCTTTTTTCTGCCTTCAGTGAATCATTCACCAAGTTTCTTAGTGTCTTATACTGAGACCAGTTATCTGGAGTTTTGTATTTATTGAATTTTGATCTAGCTTTATCACGTAGTCTCATCATTAACTTGACGTTGTCAGTTAGCCATGGCATGTATGGTTTTGTAACTTTCTTAGTTCGAAATGGCACATGAAAATCAAATAAATCCAACATTTTATTGTTAAAAAATAGCACCATATCGTTGACATTTTCCAGACTATAT